TTGACTAATGTCCCGCACAAATTTTCTGCTGTTGGTGTTTTTTGCAATGACCTAAGTGACCACTGCGTTATCACTGCTGTAAGGAATACTAAGTTGCCTAAAGGTAAACCTCGTGTAATATGTAAGAGAAATCTTAAAAATTTTAATGAACAGGGCTTTTGCCATGATTTGTTTAATTGTGATTAGAGTAGAATGGAGCTGATTCCCGATGTGGAGTCAGCCTGGATCTTTTTCCGGGATAGTTTTCTGCAAGTAATAAATAAACACGCCCCACTAAAGAGATTTAGAGTTAAGGGGCGGGATAATCCCTGGTTTTCCTCTGAGCTTGGAGATATTCTTCATGACCGCAATTTAGCTTGGGCCAAAGCAAGAAAAACGGGCTCTTCGTCTGATTGGCTTGCTTTTAGACGGCTAAGAAACAAATGTTCTTCTTCTATTAAGAAAGCAAAATCTGATTTTTATCTGTCAGTCACTACTAATAACTTAAATGACCCCAGAAAATTCTGGAAGGCTATAAAATTACTTTCTTCTAACAAAGATAGTATCAATGTTCCTATTATGAAAGAGTCTGTAGTAGTTTATGACAAGCTAGAGATACTGAATCATTTTAATGAGCATTTTATTCAGTCAGGTTCTTTGTTTGACACTGTTTGTCCTTATGCTGTGACACCCTGTGGAGATGTGCCAGTCACTACGGGTGTTTTTAATCTCGTTCCATTTTCAGTGGCTGACGTTCAAAAAGCCCTAAAAGGACTGGTTCCTGAAAAACCGCCAGGACCTGATCTTATAGAACCCTATTTCTTAAAAATAGCTGCTGATTGTGTAGCACAGCCTCTAACGTACCTTTTTAACCTTACTTTAAAGAGCAACACTATTCCTAAAATCTGGAAATCTGCATTTGTTTGTCCATTACTGAAAGGGGGTGACCCGTCAAATTTAAATAATTATAGACCAATTTCTAATTTGTCTGTTTTGGCCAAAATGCTTGAATCCCTGGTGAGTGATCAGATGAAAGACTTCTTGCACGCCCAGGACATTTTATCCCCAGTTCAGTCAGGTTTTAGAAAAAAACATAGTACCATCACAGCTGCAATGAAGGTGATAAATGATATCTCTGTTGCTCGTGACAAGAAGCAGCACTGTGCATCACTTTTTATTGATTTGTCAAAAGCGTTTGACACGGTTGATCATGATGTTCTAAAGATTAGGCTTCTTAAATCAGGGTTTTCAAAGAAAACTGTCTCTTGGTTTTCAAACTATCTTAGTGACAGAACTCAGTGCATTAAGCATGATGGTGTTCAATCTGGTATTTTACCAATCTTTAAAGGGGTTCCACAAGGCTCTGTATTAGGCCCTCTTTTATTTACTATTTATATAAATGATCTTAATCGGCATGTGTCTGATGCAAATTTTCATTTTTATGCAGATGATACAGTTATTTACTGCTGTGCACCTTCTCTTAAACAAGCCATTGCACACTTACAGAATGCTTTTAATGTGGTCCAAAATACTTTGCTACAGTTGAAACTTGTGCTCAATGCAGAAAAAACTAATTGTATGCTTTTCACAGACCTTCGGAACAGGTCACTGAATGTTCCTTCAGTGGTTACTCTTGATGGTCGTGAAATACAGATAGTTTCAACTTATAAGTATCTTGGTATTGTCATTGATGACAACCTATCATTTAAGCCTCATGTTCACTGTCTAGTGAGAAAGTTGAGACTAAAATTGGGTTTTTACTTTCGAAATAAGCTGTGCTTTTCTTTTAATGTAAAAAAACGGTTGGTGGCATCCACTTTTTTAACTGTGCTGGACTATGGTGATATATTATATATGCATTCATCTGCTCAATGCCTGCAGATGATAGACGCAGCCTATCACGCATCATTGAGATTTATTACTAATTGTAAAGCTCGCACCCATCACTGTGAGCTGTATTCTCGTGTAGGGTGGTCTGCCTTGGCTACACGGAGGCTTTGTCATTGGTATATATTTATATATAAGGCTATTCTTGGTGCGCTTCCATCTTATTTATGTTCACTTCTTATGAAAAAAAGTACTGGTCATTACTCTCTCCGTTCTCAGGCTGTTGTCTTGTTTTCTGTCCCACGTGTCAGTACTGAGCTGGGTAAAAAGGCCTTTGCTTACTCTGCTCCCTTTACATGGAATTTGCTGCAAAATAACATGAAACTTAGTAAATTGGTTCCTTTGAATACTTTTAAGTTGAGAATTAGATGTTTTGAGTTAGACTCCCTCACATGTCAATGTTTTAATTGAAATTTTATTGTAAGTGCATATTTGGCTTTTATGTGTGTGTCTTTTATACATATGTAATGATGTGATGTAATTTTGATGCCTATCTTGGCCAGGTCTCCCTTGCAAAAGAGATTTTTAATCTCAATGGGTATTACCTGGTTAAATAAAGGATAAATAAAATAAAATAAATAAGTATGACTATAACACTAATTTGGAGTTTTAAAAAATCTTTCCCAAGTAGGTTGTAAGGTCCTAGCATTGTTCTTGTCACATGTCTTTTTTTCCCTTGTACTAACCTTTTTTATTTAGCATTGTTCAGATATTTTTAATAGCATTCAGGACAGAGACATTCCTGAAACAAGATTCATTGCTTGGGGGGGTGGGGCCAACAGTTGTTTCAATCTGATCTGCGGTGAAGATGATAATTTCAGAGGTAGTACTGTATTACCAACTGAAAAACGCTTACTGCTAATTCAGTCTCTCAGGTTAATTCTGTTTATTTATATAGGGCCAATTGAAAATAAATAATATCATGGCCCTATACAACAAAAAAGCCAGTCCAGTTCATACAGAAAGATTTGAAGTCAGTTGCATGCATTGCAAAAAAAAAAAAAAAATCAAAGTTGTCAAAGAATGCATTCATGTTCAGCTTATTGTTGATATTATTAAAAATAAGCACAGCGAACCCCACCATTTGCATTGAGTCACTGACTTTCAGCGTTTAAATTTCCTAATGCAAAGATGGGCAGTAGCTAGTTACACTTACTTGAATAAATTTCAGTTTTAAGAAAGTACTTTTAGGAGTAGTTTTACTGCTATTTACTCCTTGCAAGATTGTGTTGCTCTTTATTTAAGGTCAGGTCCTCTACCAGGCAGCAATATCTTGGCTTTCCTTAGAACTGCCAATACCGGACCAAAATCTCTGATGTTTCTCCAGGTGTCTGTTGGAGTCACTTCTCAACTATGTGGGTTACTGATGGTTCCTCCAGTTCCTTTTCTTCCAGCCTCTATTGTCTGAGACATTTAATGAGTGCTTCATCCCTTGGTGCTATTCTCCTCTTACATTCACAAAGCTTGGATGTTTCATCTTCAGGTGTGACTCTGATGCTCACTAGGCCTCTGCCTTTTGCTTTGTGCTTAGTGTATAGCCTGTGGATACTGGATTTGTGGTAGAATCCTAAATGTGAGTAGCTTTGTGTTTATTACTACGGTATATATATATATATATATATATATATATATATATATATATATATATATATATATATATATATATATATAAAAATTAGGTGTTATGATCAGCTATTCAGAACTTCAGCAGCATTTTAACCAAATGCTTTCTTACTGTGGCGAACTTATACATTTCTTTGATGGCTACATTTTATATATACTTGAAAATATACTAAGCAAGTGGTGCTCTTAATTTAGTTCAGTTTTAAACATTACACACATATCTGGCTCAAAGAGCAGATAGCTACATCATTTCCTCATACTGAGCAAGCATGCAGCAACAGTGGAGGGAAAAACCCCCCTTTAACAGGAAGAAGACATCTCCAGCAGAGTGAGAACCAGAAGCAGTGTATATGGCCTTTTGCAATGACTGACTTAAGGTCTGAACAGACGGTGCATGCACAGAAAAAAAAAAAAGAAAAACAACAAATATCCCGATGCATGAAATTCCATTACATTTCGGTTTAGAAGGTTGCAACCTTCTAGTAGTGGAGTGTTTCAACAGAACAATGATTAACACGTTAAAACTGAGTCTGAGGTCTGAAAGGGATAAAGCTGGATAACATTAAGCTTCCAGAGAGAATCTGACTTAACCCTCCTTGAAATTTTAAGGATTTTGCTTAAGAACATCTGTGCCAGCAAACCAACTAATATAAATGAACTCTGCCAACGAGAGTGGACGAGAGTTCGAATATGGCCTGTGGTCCTTTGTCGCACGCCCCCCCCACTCTCTTGTACCCCCTCTCCTTTCAGCCCATTGTATAATAAACGAGCCACTATGCCGTAAAAACCTCAAATACAAAAAACAAAAACAAATGGAAGTTTATACACATATTTAAGGCAGCATGGCAATTGATTAAAAGAAAATCTAATCTTCAAAAAAATGTCCCTTAAAGTTTTATAGTGTTTTTTTATATTAGAAAAAAATAATGGTCCAAATGCATCATTAAGACCCCTGAATTAACGTGTCCTTTGTGCCAATGGTGGATGTTTGCTAACCTCAGACTGGAGCTAACTGATTGAGGAACCAACATGTAACATTGAAAACCAGGTAAATATTACCTTCTAAAAGTCTTATACAACAGAAACAAATCGCATTTATAGGTGCATTATGAGTCAGTTTTAAAGTGTTGCTGGATTATCTCCTATTTCCTTCCAACTAAATGGTTGATTTTTGTCTCAGGATCATGCATGCACATCCAGACACCGGTGCCCTTCAGCGTAATGTGATCCGATAAAGGCATGGCCATGAATATGTGCTTCCAAAGAAGAAAATTGTTTTCCCTGATGAGAGGCCTCGTGCTTGGGTGGTAAGGAAGCCAAAAAACACATCATCCAGAAAAAAAACCCAGATAGAGCAAGACTGTACAGCTTCAGCTTAGAAGCTCTTGTGTAAGAGGCTAAACAAGGAGGATGAGCGCCCTCTTCTGGTTATCATGTTAATCTCCACCTGTGGGACAAAGTCATTTAGAACAAAATAGATGTACAAAAACAAGAATACACCTGAGCCCTTCTTCAGAAAGCATTTTTAAATCAATTTTATTATTTTATAGCTAATTTACAACAAGCGCTTCACTGAACTGGAACATTTTATTTTGCTTCATAGTTTCGTTATTGAATATATTCTTCTGCTTCAGTTGTAACTTTGTAATCAGTCTTTTCTGTAAAAATTCATATACTTTATAAGGAATATCACACTATGATACGGATGGCTGAGAGAGATATTAAGAAATACATTGAAACCCTCAAAGAAAGAAAATGAAAACATATTATTCAATCAATGAGTGTGTTGTCGCTTCTGTGAGTGTAGAAAATGTAAATGCATGTGGAGACATGGTGAGTTTGTTTGTGTGTTTATATGTGTGTGTGTGCATGTGTTTTCTTTTTCCCACCCATAGTGTGTAAATGCAGTTAAACTGGGCCTGTGGCTCCCATGGAGGATTCTCGTATTTGGTTCCATTAAGGATCGCATTAGTGATCGCCGAGAGCCACACGGAAAAACCAAACATTATTTGTATTTACAGCGTTTTGCATCCAAGACCCAAGAGCTTTCTTAACACAGGGGACCAAAAAAAAAAAAAAAGCTACAAAAATATACAGACTCAATATGGAGTTTTAGTGACAGTTCTTAATAAATAAAACAGATGCATCTCAATAAAGCAGAAAATCAGCAGAGCTTTTCTATTTCAGTAATTACATTTAAAAAAGTGAATCTCATTGGGTAAGTAGCTTCATAAGACTCTGATCTATTTGTAGAGTTTTTTTCTGTTAATTCTGATGATTATGGCTCACAGCTAAACCCAGGAAGCAATTTCTCCACATTTATAGCATTTATAGTTAAAATATAGTTTTAGGAGAGTGGGTGCAAGAAAAAAAAAAAAAAAAAAAGGAAGCAAGGGAAAAATACCAACCTACTTTCTGATGAATTTACATTGCATTGATGATACGCTGCATGAGGAGATGGTTGCATTGTCTGCTTAAATTTTTTATCTTTGCCTTGTAAATAGATTGTTGACAGGATAAAAATCTATCAACTGGCCTTTTGCAGACAACAATATCATAGATATTAAAACAGGAGTTGGTATTTTTGACAGAGGGGGTAAAAAAAACTAAATTAGCATCAAAAATTTGATATCGACTGGTGCTAAAACATTTGCAGCCTGTCTCCTGGTTTGGTCTGTGGGGCAGCGCTGTAAACATTCACTGTCCACATTTTTTATTCTTAAATGGGCTTTGAATCTCAAAGCAATTTAAAGTGTTTTTTAAAGCCTTTTCTAATAAACTTTTTTTCTTCCACTATCTTTTCCTATAGTTTTCATGGACACAGCCTTCTGTAAACATCAAGCTACTTTTGCAAATATGTTTTGTAGCTTACCCACCTTGTAGAGGGTGTCAATGATTGTCTGAAGAAGAATGTGCCAACAGTCTTCCGAATGATTGTGTAGGTTGTGATCTTTCTTTTATTATCAAAAAGGCTTTCATCTGTTCCAAGTAATTGAATCCTATGCAAGCCATAAGCATAAAATTAAGAGAAATAAAAGTCTGAAATATTTTAGTTTGTTTGTCATTAATCTAAATACGAGTTCTCCGTTCTGAACTGAATTACAGAAATAAAGTAACTTTTGATCATAAAATTTATTTTTTCAGATTTATTCACATGCACCTGTAAACCAAAAGCAAAAACTGTCATTCATCAAATCTCAGCAGTTCCACTTCGGGCTGAGAGAAGCAGGTAAAGAAAACAATAAATATGGTTATTTCCATCAATACTTCCGTATTCACTCTTCTAATTCAGAACATATAATACAAACACATGCTCATAAAAATCAGATTCCTTGTTCTGTCCTGCTGTCATTTCCCGTGTTGAATATCCATCTGTGCAATCTTTATAGATATACTTTTAATCCTACAAATAAAACCATCTTCATTGCATAACATCATAGCAGTATTGCACCGTATCCTCACATGTGTGTCTCACTCTCTCATTCACACACCTGCAGGCTCATACTTTATGTATTATACATCATAACAACCATAAGCTGGATTCCTCTTATAGCATCATTTATATTTTATACATAATGGACGTTCTCCTGCAGCAAACACACGCATTCAGTCACACAAAGACAGACAGCTGCATTGCACATGTTTTTCAATTAGTTCATCTTTTCCAAACATCATCGCATCATATTTAAGTCAGATCAAAGCTCTAGTGGGAGGTCTGCTTTACATCAGCCTTAAACGGTTCCTTTTTTCTGTCTGTGTAGCTTTTTGCTCTGTTCAGCAACAATAAAATGAGAATATGGGTAAAACCAACAATCACAATGCAATATTACACAAATAAATCATTGTAATATTGTTTGGAAATGTTGATTTTTCTCTTTACAGACTTATTCCTGTTAGAAATTGTCATAAAAAAGATATATATTTATATATATATTTATATATAGAGGCCTTTTTTTCTAGTCTTCAAACATGACATATTTAATTTGTTTGGACTCAAGTGGGAGAAAAAAGCAGAGAAAAGTGGAAGAGAGAGAATAAAAGAAGACCTGTTCCTCCCCACACACACAGAGGAGTCTCCACATGTCACAGCTGTGCAAAGATGCGTACAGATGCGCCACACATGCCATGGCTAGCACCGCGGCCACTGGAAAGTGTGTGTGCGTCTGCGCATTGAAAAGCGGTCTCCTGGACGAATGACTGGCCAGGTGAAGCCGACAGCTTCTGCTGTTTGTGCAGAGAGAGAGATAACATTCATCCTGGGTCCTGACAAGCAGGTCAGAACAGCTGCAGAGGGGTGTGCCAGGTTTACTGTACAGCTGAGCTTCCAACTCCTTGTGTGTGTGAGGGTCACTGGATTGGCTGCAAGGCTGTAGGTGTGTTTGTGTGCAGGTGCGTGTGTGCATAAGGACAGGCTAAACCGTGTCAGAGCATCTAGTGTTTTCACTCAGGGTCGGCCTCCCTTGGCTGTTTCTCTTTGTTCCTCTTCCTTTATCAGACATGCTTAAACCCTCCTTCACAGAAAAGAGGCAGAGAAGAATAAACAGTACCTTGTAAAAGCATTCCCTTCCCTTAAAGAATTTCCACATTTTGTCAGGCAGCCACACACTTCAAACTTTGAAGTATCCTGTTAACACTAACAGAAAGTGATGCGTAATAGTAAAAAGGAAACAAAAGGATGTAATTTTATTTTTGATTAATAAAAATACGTAATCAAACCCATAACATGTCTAATTATTAGCTTACAACAAACCACATAAGTGTTATCCCAAAAGTGGAATAACTTTTTTGCCAAATGCTATGTGTTTTATAAAAACACAAACAGATTCCAAATATATCGTAAGAATATTTTTCTTAAACAGCGACATCAAAGCTGCTCAGACCTGAGTGGGAGATAGATGGGGAAAAGGGAAATCCTGGGGACGATCCACTGGAGGATGAGTATTTTCCAGCTGTGATTAAACCTAATATCAGTGTCATGAAAGCAAACATTTAGATTAAAGACTAATTATTTATCTGAGTGGGTAAATGTAATAATAAATACCCTTTAAATCTCTTGAAAAGCTGTAAAATAGATTTTCACACACATATTTAAACGGGAACATGAATATTTTTCCTTCCAGTTCACAATTATGCACCACTTTCTGTTCGTCCCTAAATCGTAAGATCAATCTGTTAACATTGGGTTTTTAATCATGAGAAAATGTCAGAGAGTTGGAATATTTTTGCAAGGGAACTGTGAGTTTTTCCTATTTCAAATACTGATTTCTCCTCTGTTTTTCTCCGATAACGCCATCAATAAGGATGCATGCTTCGGCATAATGAGCGTTTATTCAAAATGAATTACAATGCCTTTAAAAATCTGCCTCACAATATTTAAAATGGGCAACAGAAGAAACATTTGTCTTGGTTACAGAGATGTTATTTCAAGTGTGTACCAAGAACCAAAAATAGATTAGCAAAAGTGCTGAAAAAAGACTCCTGGTCAAGGGGGGATTTCACCAGGATTTGAAGCTCTCTCCAAAGATGTTAGCGGGGTGCTTTTCAAAAAGAGATCCTGAAAGGCTCTTTTTATAGCATCTCCATCCCAGGGATCGCCATCTCATGGAGGTGCTCAGCGGGGGCAGAGATTTGAGATACGCAGAGAGGGTGAGGTCCATTCTCTGCTTTACTCCAATCTCTGCTCAAACACAACTATATTCTTTAACAGATCCCCACAACATGGACTGTAGTTCACATCTGAGATCAAAATGCAGCTAAAATCTGCCAAAAGTGGCTTTCTGAGTTGGGATGATGGCAGAAACCTTTATCTGCTCGTAAACTCTGTTTTTGTTGCATGTAAGTTAATTTGGCTGATTTATTTTGGTGAAGCCATGGTTTAAAACCAGCGTGCATTTTAATGCTAAATACCAACTGATCTTAAATAGTACGCCTTCATTAAAGTGAAATTACACTAAAATATGTTCCCCCAATCTCTTTCAGTTTAACTAAACATTAGTTTGTTCATCGCTTTCGAAAAAAAAAAAAAATCTCCTTTTTTGGTCTCCTTACACGTCTTGCAGTGTCAGTTCCCGTGCTCTCTTGCTCTTTGTAGGCATTTGTCTCTCTGTGTCGTTAAGCAGTGATTGCCTAAGCACGGACTTCGCTGGAGGATGGGCGGACAGACGGGCAGGCAGGCTCGGCTGGCTCGGCTGTGAGGGGTGAAGGGCGGTGGTGGTCTGTGGTTGTGAGGGTCGAGAGGCAAGGACAGGGGTCAGCGGTTGCAGCATCACAGCCTCTCCCGAGTGGGAATCCAGATGTAAGGCCCTGATTGCTCCTCGATCACTGTCTTTACTTTGTGATAAACCTCTTCAAAGCTCTCCCCTTCCACGACAGCTGTGGCAGAAAATCAAATTTGAATGAGCTTGAAAAGGGATATGAAGGCTGAAGAAATAACAAAAAGTTACATAAACAGGTTTAAAAAGAAAAAAAAAACGATGTGGGAGGCTGTAGAATGAAAAGCGTTTTACCCAAAATAAACATTTTCACAATGATTTGTTCTCCCACTCTCTGTGTTCAGTTATAAATTGTTGTAGGCACCGACTGTGAGAAGAAACCTGGCATCTAAGATCTACCTACTGGTGAGATTTAACCTAAATGTGTCCCTGGAATGTTATAATGCTCTGAGTCCCCCCAGAAGGCACCAGGAGGGCTCAGAGCATTTAACTCACCCAGTTACACACAAGCAGCTTGTCATTTTGGAGGTAGGCTATGTGCTAACATTTAAAGAAGAGAGAAGAAGATAAAAAGGAATTTGAAACAGATACATGTATGTTTTATCAGAACATACAGTGATGGGACACCCCACAGGATGATGATGATGATTCAAACCAATCCATCCATCCATCCATCCATCCATCCATCCATCCATCCATCCATCCATCCATCCATCCATCCATCCATCCATCCATCCATCCATCCATCCATCCATCCATCCATCCATCCATGTGACAAAGAGAAAAAAAACAACCAAGGACTTTAGACCAAAGGGTAGTTTAGAGAGCATAAATAGTATTTAAATCATATCTTTGGATAGGGAGACAAAGCTGGAGTAAATAGTTTGTACTAAGGCTGATACGATTATTCAGATATTTTTGTCAATATTATATTATTAAATAATATTATATGTCATTTAATCAATTACTGAAATAATCACCAACCAATCTGGTAATTGAATTGAATCCAAGAGCGATGGTACACAGAATTCAAAAAATGCCATTCGCTGAAAATATTACCAACCTAAAACAAATATTTTGAGTTAAATTTTGTCCCAGCAATGTTCCGAGACAAGAACACATTTGGTTAAATGAAATTTGATTTAATTTTTTTCTCTTTTTTTTGCTAGTGTTTTACTAAAAATATCTATTTTTTAGATTAAATTACTAATTAAAAAAATATTAATAGAATAACTGATTACTAAAATAATCCATAGGTGCAGCTTTAGTATTTACCTGTAGTTATAATGTTTAAACAACTCATCGGTCACCAAAGAACTTTAGACCACATTCGGTCATTGACCGATTTACACTCACATTAAAGGAATAGTACACCCAAAACATGATTAGCCTTCATTTTCTACTCACCCCCATGCTGAACAACACTCTGGAGTACTTTTTTGATATCTCAAATGCATCTGGAGATCTGGGAGGCTTCTTGCTGTCTGCTGACATTCAAATAATGGAGGTCTATGGTGCCCGAGGCAGAAAGGTCCATAAAAGTCCACAAAAAACGTGTCAATATTCCTCCATACTGGTCGTCCAATGTATTCCAAGTGTCCTGAGTGGGTAGCATCCAGAATTTACTCAAAACGAAGTCATTTAGAATGTTTTTAGAGCATAAACAGTAGTGTGTAGGATTTCCTAAAAGCGCGTTCACGAGTCTACGGAAACCGCGGCAGACCAAACCAGATGAAAGTGCGCATTCAGCTCGGCAAAGAACTCATGCTCTTCCTCAACACTGAAGTCCTCAGACATTTTTCTATCGTTGTTTCTTTCTTTGCACAGGTAAACAGCACATTTCTTCTTCTACGCTTGCATTATCTGCAGAGCAGACGCTGAATGCGCACTTTCATCTGGTTTGGTCTGGTTTAGAAAATGAAGGCTAAACATGTTTTGGGTGTACTATTCCTTTAACACATTAGTAATGGCAAATTATGCTGCAGCCACAGCTGTCCTGAGACAGAGCAACATAAGGAAGGCTGCCATACAGCAACGCCCTCTGACCACGAACAGCAGCCAGTGATGGTAAACTATCTTCCCTAAAGACACAATGGCAAAGACAGGCGAAGTGGGGGCTCAAATGGCAACCACCAGTTACAGGACTTCCTGATCATCGGTACCTGATGATTATCCACTTGAGCACAGAAAGAGCAAACAAACTAAAAAAATGTATCCTGAAAGCTAACAGTGCTAAAAACTGCTTCATGTTGCAGCCCTATGACCTTACCAATACAGTTAAGGTTCAGAAAGCTTTAAAGTAACCCTTAAAGCAATAATCAATGATAATGGCACAAACTGCAGATGTTACCCCAAGTCCAATATTTTGTAACAACTTGGTCCTTGAAGGGCATAAATAAAGGTTTGTTAGGAACCACATTGTGTAAATTAAATAAAAAAAACACAGTTTGTAAATAAAGATTCAATAAAGAAGAGGTTTTGTGAAAAGAAATTTATGAAAAATGAAAAAGACAATTTAAACTTCAATTTCTTATTAACAGGTATTGATGGAAGCTGCTGTTTTTGTCACGTCTTGGTTGTAGTTAAGAGGACCCAAAATGCAGAGGCAGAGAGGCTGCGGTGAATTCTTGTAGTTTTAATGAAAAACACTAAGGAGACATCAAGGGAAACGCGCACAAGGAGCCAGGGAGAGACGAGGTGACAGGACAACGTCGAAGACAGGACCAGCAACAACAAGGAACCAACAAGGAGTGAGAGCAGAGGGAGAGTATAAATAGCTGACAGACAAAGGGAGGGCTAACGAGCTAACAAGGAGCAGGTGTGAGAGGAGACGAGGGAGCCAAGGGAAGGGAACATACACACACACGAGAGCAACAGAAAAACATGAGAACTAACAAATCTAGAAATTACAACAAAAAAGAAAAAAAACTAGGGAACATAGAGCAAAGTAAAGCACAATATAACCAAAACCATGACAGTTTTCTCAGATTTTATTAATGCAATAATTGTTTCATACTTTATAGAATCAAATGTTATTTTTTTACCAAATGTATTATTTCTATTTTTTCATATTTTTTTGTTTCTGGTTTAATATATTTTTTAAAAATGCATTTTTTCAAATATCTGTTTTTCAGATTGCGTTTTAGGAATTGCATTTTTTAAAATTGCGTTTTACAGGTAGTATTCTCTTCACTTCGGGGGGCGGGCTTTGGGAAAGAAGCATTTCAATTGGTCTGTAAAGGTTAGCAAGAACATTTTTATTGGGTTTGAAGTGAATAGAACAAAAAAAAAAAACATTTTTGAATGGGAAATTTGAAAAACATGTAATTTTAAAATATTAAATCTATAGAAATAAAGATAAATGAAAACAGAAATTGAAAAAAAGATAATGATAAAAAAATCTGAGAAAATAATTTGTTACACAAAACCTTTTTTTTTCTTAAAAAGATTTCAGAAGTTTCATTTTTCATTTGTAGATTTCTTTTTTTCCAACTTTCAAAACATGTACTTTGCATTTAATATGATAAATATTCACAATGGATCAAAATTCACTTCCTAACCACAGCAGTGCATCTCATCAATGACCTAATTGTATTAGAAGCTGTTTCTTTACGCTAAATTGATAATTTATCACCAGATAAGTAACACATTTTCTATTTGCTGCAGTAATAAGTAGCTCCCATTAATCTTTCCCTTTTAGCCAAAGTGTTGGTTAATGTTTTTATTGATTCTACAAAAAGTCTAGTCCTGAGAAAGATACAGAAAGCTTCAGATTCTTCCTTGAAACATTGTTTTTATGGATAAACATAGATAGGATTTAATGCAGCCTAATTCTACCTCCTTCCTCAATAAGTAACTGCTGTATATTATTTTCCCCCAAAAATATAAACTTAGCTGCACCAATGCGGTTCTATCAGCATGGTGGTTTTACCCAGCATACGTTTGCTCTCACCTGAGAAGCACTCGAGGAAGTCCTGCTCTAGTTTCAGGGCTCGGTCCATTGCTTTCCTAGCCTGCTCCTCTGTCAATCGAGTGTTGATTTCTCTGGAAATGTCAATGGTAGAATTTTTATTGCAAAGCACCCTTTCCCAACGCAGTGATACATTTTTAAGAAACATCTTTGACAATACGTACAGAACATTCTCCAGTGACTTGGGCCGGACGAAGATCGCAATGGGATGAAGTTGAGCAGCTTGTAGTCTACGCACAGCGTTAGCAGAAACATCCAATATGCAGTGTTTCCCCTGCTGCTCGGGAAAATAAAATGAATCAAAGTTGGCTTAGGAGGAGAAAACAGACAGCTTTAGTTTAAAAAAAAATAATTTTCTAAATAGACTGCTTTATGGTTGAACAAAAAGATAATGGAGATTGGCTCTTGTTAGTACATAGTTTAAAGACACATGTTCAACATACTGCACACTGCAAAAGTATTCCTCTGACCTAAACCTTTCATATTCTATAATGTTCTGTGGTGATATTATATGCTCTTATCACATAATCTTCACTGACACAGTTAAAGTTCAGGGTGTTTACAGTGGAAAAACGATCTGGAAATAAGTAAAAATGTCTTAAATTAAGTGTATTTCCCCTTAATTTGAGTAGGTAAATTAGATAGTTTGCCAATGGAATGAGTATTTTTACTCTTAAAATAAGATAATTAGATAAAATGCACTTGAAATAAGACAATGTAATCGTGCTTTCTTATTTTAAATGTAAATCGTCTTGTTCCATTGGTAAAACCTCCCTTTTACTTTCTCGACTTAAGAACAAATGCACTTATTTTAAGAAAAAATTACTTATCTAGATTTTAATTTTTTCCAGTGTATATTTTATCTACCAGCTTTGCAGAGTGACTGGTTTAAGATTTCAACAACAGCTTTAGCTCAAATGGACAGAAGGGAGAGGATCACTAACTGTCAGAAATATCCCAAAATTGACTTAGGTTTAGACTGATTAAGACATTACAATACATGATTATAATTTTATGGTAAATACTGTTGTATATCTAGTGCAATAATCCTCAAATAGAAGAGGAACTTCAGCAGTGTCAAGTCTTTTGCAAACCCTAACAGGTTTCCTTTCAGAACTTCCCTGTATTTAGCCTCATCTATCTATCTTAGCACTGACAGACTTCATTTTTCCAGTTAAAGGAAGTAATCCCCACACCATGATGCTGCTACCATCATATTTTCACACTGGGAATGGTCTTCTACATTTTTTTGTTGTGATCGCAGCATAGATTTGAGAAAATCATTCTAATTTTCATAAAAATGGCACCATAACTAATTAATAAATATCAGATTGATTATGAATGTGGTCATCTTTAGTAGAAGTGATTCCTGCAACAGTGTCTTCACAGCTCTGAATCAGAGATCTACAGCTAATCTAGAATGCTGCTGCAAGAGTCCTCAACAAAACTAAGCAGGTGGAGCAAATGAGCCTAGTTCTAAAATTGTTACAGTGAAATTGTTTAAAATACTTGCGTTAGTTTCTAAATCACTAAATGGCTTTGCTCCAAAATACAGACATACTGTATCACTGTACCACCCAGACCAATCGAGTCTCCTGGCTCTAATCTAATTTGCATAACTAGAACCTCAACTAAACAAGCAGATGCAGCGTTATCTGGAATAAAACTCTCAGAAAATTGTAGAATTGTGAAACCCAGATTCCTTTAAATGGAGATTAAAAACTGATTTTTTTAGAGTGGTCTTTTGCTGTGCTATTTAAAGATTATTACATTTATAGTCTGTCTTTCAGTCCATTTTTTAAATCATCTTAGCTTTCCTTTACTCTTAAAAAAAGAGAATACAAATTAAACTTAAATAAATGCTTCCTTTGGTGAAAATTATCTGAATTAAGTTATTCAGCTTAATTTATTTAGTTTACAAGTTGACAAGTTAAACCATCATAAATAAATGAAGTTGGACACACCTAAATCAGTTACTTAACACTGTTCATTTGGGTTGGTGCTGTGTTCTCTTTTTTAAAAGTCCATACAATCTTATTTAAATTATTCACCTCTTATTATTCTCCTTTATTATTTTGAGTTGCCTCCACTACAATGCACTTTACTTTATCTTTGCTTTCTGAGCATTTCCAATTGTCTTGCCTTTGTAAACTACTCTATAAATAAATTTACTTTGTCTTGTCTTAAGAAGATGATTTAGAGATAAGTTAGCCATTATTTCTCCTAGCTAAGCTTTGAATCTTTGTAGAAATATTTGTAACTGAGCAATGCTATTTTATTAATTTCAGAAGAGGAGCTGAACAGGAATTGATGAGAAATTAAAATGTAGGTACAGTGTTTGATAACTAAATCTGCTTCCAGCTTCTTAACATCTTATTTTTTTAGTTTTTACAGAACTAGTGGTTCCCTTTTCTGACAGTAGGCTGACAGGAAAGGGGGTATGAGAGAGGGCTTCGAAGAGACCTGCAGCAAAGGACCACAGGTTGGATTTGAACCCAGTTCAGCCGCATCGAGGACTAAGACCTCTGTACATGGGTCACGTGCACTAACCACTGCTGATACTGTTTCTTCTCAAACCTCTGAGTTCTTCACAGAACTTAAGTTAAATTTGCTCACGGGGACTCTATTGATTGGGGGCTGATGCCTTTAAGCAATCATGCCATCAAGATTTGATCAAAAGTGCAAAACGCATTTATTTTTTGTTTGCATTTTTTGATCATTCACATAAAATCCAAAGGAAATTTAAAATGGAAAAAGGGGTGTGAATACTTTTGCAAGGCACTGCAAGTGTTTTGTTTAATTCAATATTTGCCTCAAATAAACGGATCACTAAAAAACATCAATATGGTGATATAATACATGTATAAACCGCTATTGAAGTCATTTGAGGATTTTTGCTGTTATTTTAGGTTTGGAGACAGGTAAACGACTGCTGCTTACTTGCTCAGCCACCTCGCGGACGCTCTGCACGCTGGTGCCATACAAGTGACTGTTATATTGGCCTGCTTCGATGAACCGGTGGCTCTGGATGTCCTTTTCCATCTGTTCCCTAGACGACACAAAATGGTAGTCTCGCCCGTCCACCTCATAATCCCTCTTGGGCCGCGTGGTGTCTGTCAAAAGGAGGGCAAAAAGAAAATATTGTAGATGAACATCTTGTTATGAATCTCTAAATCTGGTTAATCTTTCATATAAATATGTTGCCCTAAATTTTTCAAAAGTGACATCCAACAAAAGTCCAGAACAGATCGGACTCTTGGAGCGAATGACTCACGGGGGACACAGGATCCAAACTTATCAGGGAACTCAGATAACAGGTCATCATTTATCCTGTCCTTCACCGGACCCAGAATGATGATGGGCCTGGCGTAATGTACTTAGGAGGAGAGAGAGCGAAGAAAGAGAGCAACTTCGGTCACAACAGAGAAATAAAAACCAAAATGAAATGTCACATTAAAGACTTGGAAAGTGGGCCTAAAACGCGCCTTGGTGTCGTCTTACCTTCCACTTGAGTAACTGTCTCATAACTGTGTGGGGTTTTATCCCTCCCTGGTGAAAGAACATAGCAGCAATCAGCCAAACCTCTTTTCATTCGTTCAAAATCAGATTCAGCACGGTGCCTCTCTGGCTTTCTGAATTCATACTCACAATGATATATTCTTGAAGTTTACAAAGAATATTAAGGATAAAATACTTTCAATGTAACATGATTTCAGTTAATGTGCTCTGTCAGACAACTATGGTGACTGCTGTTTGTATTTAGAAGAAACATCTAGATCTGATATCTGTGTCAGAGAGAAATCAGACAATTGTTTTGTATGTTTGAAACTTATACCCATGTTTTCCCATAACGCAAAATGAATGATAAAAATCAGTAAGCTAAAGAGCAATTATTCATATATATAAACAAATATGTTCGGCTTATGTGAAAAAAAAAAAGAAATGTGAAATTTTCCAATGATTATTGTCTGCTTTACTTAATCTGACTTTGAGTCAAAAGGAAAAGAGGACAAAAGAAACAATATTTGCAAACTATTGCACAGTGATTTTGTGTTGTTCATGAAAGATACAACGCTTGCAAAGATCTTATTTCCTCTGATAGTAGGGTTAAAAAAAATTATGCCATTGGGTAGCACTGGATATTTGGCTGAACAGAACTGTATGTTAATTACCTTGGGTGCCCAAGCTGTCTCGACCATGGTCCTAAAATACAGAGGATGGCAAAGATTACAACAGGTTTTAAAACAATCCTGCCTTAAACTATATAGTCGGCGAATGTACAGACATACCCTCTCTTTAGTGTTAACACGAGACCACTCTTTTCTTTCCACCCTAAATGAGATTAGAAACTCTATTGAAGGCCTTTTGATGAACACAATACTGATCATACAATTCTGTTATTAGTTATTTCAAAAACAATGCAGGGTTATACTCTAACCTGTGCTTGCTGGGGATGAAGCCAACCTCCTCAGCTTCATTCTGCGGGCTGACCTTACGGGCCTGCCACCATTCTTCATCTCCGCAGTCCAACACATGCAGTACATCCCCAAACCTGAAGCCCAGGGCTTGACTGAGGAAGCCACAGTCTGCTGTCTTGTCATAGTCAAAAAGAGCCCTGGGTGTTGTAAGAATTCAGAGTAAGCATGAAAAAAATTATCCTTTTAAAACCTATTTAATTAAATTTACACAAAAATGTCAAGTTTTATGGAGGCCTTTAAGAAAAGTCACTGTCAACTCTTATGAATGAAATCATTATCATATGATTAGCATATAAAACCTGCTAAGCAGAACGATTAATTTCACTGATGACTAATCATTTCATTATTTTTATTTTTTAATAACTATTATAGAGGATTTCATTCATTTCCTTTAATGCAGAGATAAATTAAAAGGTTTTAAGAACCTCATTGGAGCAAATCACTCCCTTTGGCTGCACGATATGAACACTAGAGGCTATAAATTGCTGTAGATAACAAAAAGTGCTTCTTTCAGTAAAAAAAAAAAAGAGAATACATTACTTAAAGCTGGAAAACTAAAAAATGCATTCCTGATAATAAAGATTCATAATATAATCCTGTTTAATGCATAAAACAGAAAATTAAAATGATTTCCTCCTAATAGTTTTTGTTGTCTCCTTCTGTACCTGATGTAGAAGCCTCTCTTTGGGTTACTCCTTAGTGTTGTTGTCCCGGAGCCCATACTGCTGTTCATCAGCTGTTCCCTCAAGTCATGGATTTTAGCTTCAAAACGGCTGTACTCTGAAAGGAAACGATTGAATGACACATAACATTGTTACATAGATTTTAGGGCCAGTAAACCATGAATGAAAAAAAAAAAAAAAATGTTTTGATGTGGAATATGTTGAATCAGTGCAATGTTATTGGCAGAAACAGAGAAAAACAGAGGGTACTTTCCTTCTTCCTGCTATGTAGGAAACATGGGTCATTTTCTAAAACTAAGATATGATAATAAATCTTCTTGGTCTCTCATTTTTAAAACTTTGTTACATGTAGCCTGCTATGACTCAGTATCTTTAAACTCTTGGTATCTTTAAAGGCCAAGCTCCATCATATATTAGAGATAGGATTGTTCCTTATGTCCCAAACAGAGCACTTTGCTCTTAATCTGCCGGTTTACTAGTGGTTCCTAGATTTTCTAAAAGTAGAATTGGAGGCAGATCTTTTAGTTATCAGGCTTCTCTCCAGTGGGACCATCTACCAGTTTAAGTCAGTGAGGAATACAGTCTGTCTATTTTTAAACTAGGCTTAAAACTTTACTTTTTGATAAAGCTTATAGTTAGAGTGGTTCAGGTTATCCTGAGCTATCTCCATAGTTATGCTGCTATAGACTTAGACTGCTGGAGGACATAGGGACCCCTTTTCATCATTCTGCTTCATTCTATCTCAATTCTCCCACTCTGCAGAATATGTTTGTTCAATCTCTAACATTATGCTCTCTCTTCTTTTTCTGATCATAGTAGCTTAATCTGGTCTGTTTCTGTTTGGCTGTGACACCATCCTGGAGAGAAATATGCTGCTGCCATCAAAACCTTTGTTTATAGATGTTGGAGCTTGGCCTGTTATTCTGGACTTCCATCTTCCAGGTCCCTGAGTGAAGCTCTAGTATCAGCTCACGCAATCCAATGGATCTCCCCATAAAGCTCAGCATACCGTCTTGCTAACCAGCAGTCTACAGACTGACCAACTTCATCTATCTCCACTGCACCACCAGTTTCAGGCCTGGGGGGGAAACAGCCCTATTCTTTGCTCCTGTTCATGCATATCTATCAAAATTAAGCGCCATGTTTCCTGCCGAGGTCTGAGCGCAAAAGACAAAGTAATGGTATCAATAAATTTCTCCTAATTGTCTTTTCTATTCGTGTGAGATTTTCAGATTGAAATGAAGTAAATACTTTCTCTTTATTCCAATACTTCCTCACAAGGAGTTTTTTACCAAAGGAAAACTGAAGAAAGACTTTACATTTTTATACATTATTTTTAACCTCAGACATATAAAACAGATGCAGCTTTAGTGGAATTGAAGCTGCGACACAACTAGAAAGTAAAAAATGAAAAGAAAAAAAAAACTATAGAATGAACGTTGTAGAAGCGATGTAGAAATAACTGTGTTAAGATTTTTTTTCATCACTGTGGCATAATTCTGATCCCACTTATGATTTGATCAGCAGGTTTTGTGCCCTACTAAAGGTTTCTGTGTTGCTGCTATCACTTTAGGATATATAGTGTTTGCCACAGCAAACAAATGAGCAGACTCTGCCAGAGGTAGCAAACCGAAATCAAACTCATCTTTCCACTGGATGACACTAATCTAATGAAACCTCATAAAAATTTAATCATCGCCCAAACAGATTCTCGGATGACTAGATGTAGCCAATTCTATGCTAAAAGCTGCGAGTGTTACTGCCTGAGTAATCAGTTAGTCAATCTATGTAAATTATATGGAAAGTAGAGTGAAAATGTATGCAGCGGTTTTACCTTCAGGCCTGTACTGAGCAATGATGGTTACAGTCTGGCCTGCGTTCTTCAGAGCCGCTGCGGCCTGTTCATGGGTAGCCATGCGCAGATCCACACCGTTAACCTAGGAAATGTACACACATTAAGATTGTTTAAAGGCTCATCTGGTAAATATTTACCTGCTGTAATGAAATAAATATGAGTTTGAAATTTTTGATGACAGAAGACGTCATTACACTCAGGATCTGATCGCCCTTGTGAAGCTCCCCGCTGAGGTCGGCCGGCCCTCCTGCCAGGATGAAGGAGATAAAAATGCCCTCTCCATCCTCTCCCCCAACAATGTTAAAGCCCAGACCCGTAGAACCTCGGTGGATCAAGACTCTCCGTGGTTCTCTGGAACCAGAAATGAGCTACTCAGTTTTTGCAAACCCTGCTGGTAAAGTTTTAAATGATGAATACGACATTACAATTGTGATATGTGAGAAATGTGGAGAAAAAACCCCCACCTAGGTATGTCATCATCTCCCATCAGGCCATGCAGAACAGGGGAGAAGCGACTGGGTGAGGTGGGGGTGAGGGCTTGGGGGTAATCTGATCCAAGATAGTTCGGGTGGCTAAGCTCGGTATCCATATGGGAATATGCTGCAAAAACACAAAGGAAACCAAAGGAGGTGTCAAATAGCAGTCCTCTACATGAAATATTATACTTTTATGCTTTTCTGTTGTTTAATCTTATATATTTATCTCAACCTAATGTAATTTGAAAGTCAGTCTGAATCGTAAAGCTTTTTGTTGCTACAGTATAAGTAAAAAAAGAGCCAATTTCTCTGATGCATCACATTGCATTGAATGCATCTTCAAAATACTCAGAATTTCAATGAATAGTTGCATTACTAAAGTTTGCTCCAGTAACATATATAAGGGAATATCATGTAGCTACACTAAAAAAAACTTTAGCATTATGCTAACTCTACTGCAATAGCAGAACAGCCCTCAAGAACGACTCATAGTGTATGTATCTACATAAAGTGAAACGTTTTTTCTGCAAAAATGAAATCCAATACTAAAACTTTTAAGTGGTGAAGCTATGTGCTGCTAAAGAGCAATTTACCCTTTCAGATGTCTTATTGTCTTATTATATGTCTTTAGGAGATACAACAAATTTGAAAAATCGATCAGTCAAAGATAACCCGAGAGTCACATTAAACTACATTTTCTTAGTTTCACCCCCAGCCTGACAAACATCCAGACCTGGAGGGTCAAGAGATCATGGACCCTGTCTGATAACATGAGGTAGAATAAAAGATTTTGAGAGCCCAAACATTATACCCCAATCTAAAACTCAGGAAGATATGAAAAACAAAGTCATAAAAATATCTATTAGTCAGGAAAGGGTTGAAAGCCTTTTCTAAAACTTTGAGAGTCTAAGAAAGTGAAAGCCTTCATCCACAAATTAGTAAAGTATCTAATATTAGTCTACCTTTCTGGGGTTGTTTTGTCTTAAAAAAAAAAGTTAAACTTAAATAAAATACGCATATTTGTCCTTTATTTGAGAATGTAAATGGATGATCTGCTAATGCAAAGATCATTGTTGCCCTTTAAACAAGATTATTAACTTTAAATGGCAAATTATCTCACTTAGCTGCCTAAAATCGAGAAAAGATACATCTTTTTGAAGAATAAATGACTAAATTGTATTATCATTTTAGCCCTGTACCTGAGGAGGAAATCAATTACACATCTAAGAGGGAACAAAATAAGCCAAAACAACATCTGAAGCATGGACAGCCTCATTCGCCTCAACAACTAAACGTGGTGGTGAATGTTTTATGTTCTACAGCAGCTTTGAAGCTTCAATGATCCAAACACAACAGAAAGTGGATCAAAACATTTAAATGCAGACTTTGGAGGCTAAAATCAGTGTTTCAATGGATTGAAACACTGATTTTGCCAAATTCAAACTATTCTGTATAAAGAAAGAGCCCAAAATTCCTCCACGGTGCTGGAAAGGAGCCATTGTCAGTTATTAAAAAGCTTTTTCAGCCACCAAAAGTGGTGCAATTGTTATTTTTAGGGGGAAATCACCTGTTCACATGGTGCCAGGTTGATTAAGATGTTTTTTTTTTCTTGATTAAACTAAATTTTGTATATATTTTATATGGTTTGTCTGATTTAAATAATTGATTTGTGACAAAAAAGCAAAAACAGATGAAACCTGACTCCTCCTGACATTCTGTCTGAAATCATAAAGATCTTTATCAAAAATAAACCAGCCAAACTGTTTTCAACCAGTCCTGCAGAGTGAGGAGATTAGAAAAAGCACGTGACTGTAACCTAAATGTCCTGATTTGTCTGCATTTTAAGAGGAAAAACCTTGAGCCTGATCACTGCTCTAAATTAAATTAATGCAACATTTAGATCCAGTTTTTATCTCATAAATCCAGTCTTCCAGTATAGAAACAGTGGATACAATTCCCCCTAACAGCGCGTAAAGCAGTACTCACTGTTGGTAAGGTCTGGTGGGTTGTAGGAGTTCGTCAGAAAGAGGTTGTTTGGCTTCGCCACCCTAAGGTACACCACCTCGGCTGTGTTCTTCAAAGCTCCCACCGCATCCTCGTGCATCACGTCCTCCAGACACACATTGTTCACCTGGTAGAAGCAGTGAATGATTTTTCTATTGGTGTCTTAGCTTGGTATAAATCCAGCTTTTTGATCTTGAATGCTGATTGTTAAACACAGTTGAAGAGGGACAAGCACCACAGTCCTAAAGTATAATAACAATTTGTATTTAAAGATAACTTATCAACTTATTCCAAAGTAGTTAATTAAAGAAAACTCCTTAAAACAAAATCTGTGACTGGATTCACCTTACATACTCTTAAACACATTCATTTATGCCTCTCCCCAGTTTTAATTTAAATAAATTTTCAACCAATCAGTTTATCTCTAAGTGGAAAAAGACAATAATATTTAACTTTTATGTCTTAATTAGTAGGAAAAAAATATTGATGCTTACTTTTATGGAAAATGGAAATTGGAGGCTGTAACCTACTAAGATCTGAGCATAAAACATTCCTGGCCAAAGTAAGTGCCAGAGAATATGAGGTTTTAAAATTGACCCTTTTATAGCTATTTTAGCTGATGCCACAGGCAACCGTAGAAGGATAAGTGGTTATAGACAATGGATGGATGGATTTATAATTAATGCCATTTCAAACTGTTTTATGCTGTTTTAATTTTCACGCAGGCAGTTACTCCAACTAGATATTCTGTTCACATAATGGATTTAAGACAGGAAGACGGTCTACAACCTCTATTTTCCTTTGTAGGCACCATTTCTGGGGAAACAGGGCTGCTTCCTCCCTCTGCTTTTTCCATGGCAGAAACTAGAACCAACAAGGGAACCGGGGAGGACATCTCCAGAAAACTGCATTTACGGGGGTGGGGTTGGGGTTGGACCCTGAGCTAAAGGTGTAGTGAGAGAGCTCTAATCATTTACCCCTTAAAGCAGGGGTGGGCAATTCCAGCTCCTGGGGGCCACTATCCTGCAAATTTTAGATGTGTCCTTGATCCAAAACACCTGAATCAAGTAAATAGATGATTAAGAGGACCGAGGTAACTGACAGCATACTGAGGTGGTAATTCAGCCATTTGATTCAGGTGTGTTTGACCAAAGACACATCTAAAAGCTGCAGGTTACCGGCCCTCGGGAACACAAAACCCTTTCACAAAAGCTTACATTTACCAGCATTAGTGTAAATATTTAATTGAAGGAAGGGGTACTTCTGCCTTTTATGTTTTTCCCCAAAACTCGCATCAGAATTTTTTTTGTGATATTTTAACCACTTGAATATATTTTTAGCCTTTCTGTCCTGAGATACAGATTAAAGCAATTTACCTAAAATATAGATTGTTCATGTAATATGTGTTTTAACAGGTACTTAATCTGTAGCACTCATCCTGAGGGCTTTAATTATAAAATATCACTGTTTTATTAGACATGTATAGCAAAACATCTTTTAAATCCTAATTATTTAAAGAACATAAAGATTTTTATCCATGTAAATTATCTGATTTGACACCTCGTCCAGTGAATACACACAGAAAATGGCAAAGGTAGATAAACATTTCTGAGAAACAAAATCCACCCATGGTTGGGATTACCTAAATAAATAACATCTTTTATGACTAACAACTTAATAACACAAGCTGACAGTTTAAAGGTTATTAAAATAATCTGATGTGTTTGAGCCAGTCTTGGTCTCGGCCAAAATCTGGAAAGGCATTAGCTTCAGTCTCAGACAATAAGCATGCTACCAAACACTTATCTGCTGCAGACAGAATATTGTAACTTTATTTCAAACAACCCTGAACTATTCCTTTGAGGTGAATATACCTAATATACCATAACTTTAAAAACTTAAGAGTCAGACAGTGCAGTAAAACATTTTTTTTTTTAGAGAACTGCAATACATATGTCAAACAAAGAATCTTAAAAGTTGTTGATATTAAAGTGTGTGCATTTTTTTCATTTGTAAATGTTTTCCTAATTTTCCTATCCCATCCACCTGTTATAACATCCTCTCTGTGCAGCAGTAACTCAGTCACTATGATTTAATCTGAGTGAGGCTGTAACCTATCAAATTTGGTATCTGTACACTTTTTTAAGTTTCTTACAATCCAGACTCTATCTAAATAGTACATTGGCACGATTTCTTCAAAAATCTTCCTGTTGATCTTTTTTTTTTTAACAATCAACTATCTTCCAGGGTCAGAACTTCCATTTTGTATAATATTATTTCAGACCTTCAGCGTCCTGCTGCAGCCAACAGGATCTGAACCTTCCAATTACAGATAAACGCTTGGAAGCTGTTCTTGGCCAGCTGCATACTTCATTAATGTGTGCTCAACATGAACTTATTCAGTTTAAGTTAACTTGTGGAAAGCATAGAGGTTGATCTGGAACATGGCTTGTATTGGTCCTGTCTGACATTGGCTAATTATTGGAATTCTGTTTTTCAAACTATATCTGATGTCTTGCAAAATCAAATTAAACCAGATCCTCTCTCTGCTTTTGTTGGAGTGGCATCGGACTTAAATTTGCCAAACTCAAGGCTTAAAGTAATTAAAGTTTTACTTTTATTGGCCAGAGTAGCTGTGGAAGGATTCTGCGTTCCTTCCACATGTGCAATAGGTTAGAAATATCATGGCCTGTATAGACTTGGAAAAAATCTGATTTACAATAGTGGTTTAGAAAACTCTTTTTTTTTAAAGTTTTGGTGTCCTTTCATAAATTTCCTTGAAAGTTTGACCTCCACCGCTTTATGTATTTATTTTTTTTCCTATCCTCACAGCTTCTTTTTCTGTTTGTTGATTGTTGTGCTTTTTACATTTTTATTTCCAGTTTTTTTCTTTTTGCTTTAGATATATTTTACATATAAGGATCAAATTGGCCTAGTTTATTTTATTTGGAACCCTCCTATTTTTTGTTACTCATAGGTAAATAATAAAAAATAAACACAACAACAGAAAAAATTTAAACTTGGTTCTTTAAAGTACATTTTAAAGAAAAACTAGCCCAAATCAAGGACCCTGTTGTAGTGGCTGTGTGTGAGTTCCAGTGTTGCCCAGCAGATGGCAGTAATGCTACTTAAGAAACATTGTCTTTGCACTCCACATAAATATTTACAGCATTCAACCCTATACACATATTAAGATGGTAATGGAAGTATTGTCTGGCAGTAGAAATCACAGCTGTAATTATCTTGGCTTGGGATACATCACTGCTTTACCAGCACACAATATGTGACTGTGCAAATGTGTGAATATGCATCCAATTTGTTGAGGAGATGTGGGTCTCAGACAGTCTTTGATTTGCACTGTGTATGTGTGTGATTAGGGGGGCTTTGCTTTGGCACTTCATAATGTTTGAATGACTGACCGCTAAGATCTTGTCACCGATCTGCAGGCGGCCATCTTTATGAGCCGCCCCTCCTTCGATGATCTTGGTGACGTAGATGCTGTTATCTCCTGGTATGTGCTGGTTTCCCACCCCTCCAGCAATGCTGAAACCTAATCCTGAGAAAAGGAGAGATACGAGGGGAGCAGAGAATGTGGGTTAACACAGAGCAGATTTGTAAAATCCTGAGGGCAGAGCTTAGCTGGGAACACAGCATCAGAGAGCCCACACAAAAGGGCTGAAGGTTTACACGCTGTAGTCACGGTACATACCTTTAGGCCCTTTGATTAGTTTGATTTCAGTGACTTTTTCTGCTGCTGGTTTTCTGCGGAGAACGTAGAGGCGGACAATAGCACCTGCCTCCTTCAGGGCCTCCACAGCCTGGCTGTGTGTCACCTCCCTCACATCCACATCATTCACAAAAAGGATGCAGTCGTTCACACTAAAAATTTGAAGCAAATATAAACTATGAGTGGGAAACGTGAAAAGACAGAATGAGCTGTTATGGAAAAAACGATCAGAACTAACACTCCACCAGCAAAGATCTCCATCTTTAGTACATTTTTTATTGGATAATTAATGGTGACACAAACTGACAGACTTAAAAATAATTGTAAAGTTTGTTTTAGAACACATTTGATTATTGGAAATGTATAAATTAATCAAACTTCTTGATGGAAAAATGCTTCTTCAAAGACCATATAGACCATATCTTAAATAAACCTCTTAATAATAAGAATGAGAATTGATCTACAGCATTAAGAGCCAAACATCTGAATGACGGTTTGTGGAAGAATCTCTAAAGGTTATACTCAAATTTAGTCATTATCCATAGTTAAAAGTTCCCCAGAAGTATTAACAACTCCAAACTAAAATAATAACTGGAAAAATATTTATCATTATTCTGTTTTTAACAAAAGTTAATACCTGTGTACCAACCTGCAGGACAAAATACTCCTAAATAGGCCTACTCTAAAGTAAAGGGGAGGTCTTTAAACAATGTGGTATTTTACAGAAAAATCAAGCATGTTTTACCCCTTAACTAAAATCTTTTATCATTGGAGGTGAAACTTGATAAGCCAAAAAAAATAAAAATAAATAAATTTGATGATGAGTGAATTTGAAGAGTATTGCTAATCTCCAAGAAGTGTAGATGGAGGTGGGAGTTTTAACCATGGAAAAGCATTGTTATCTAAGAAATGTAACCAATCTGCCGTCATAGTCTGATTATACTTTTACCAGGAGCTGGAGCCTAGTAGAGCCTAGCTACTGCTTGGAAGCAGTAACACTAAATTAATCCAACAGTTCTCCAACCTGCTGGATATAATGTCTTTAAATATTTCCAGTTAATCCGGGGCCCAGGAGACCATTTTCACAACTATTGTGATTTGACGCCAGAGGTAAATGAAGGTCCCTAATCTGTCCTAAAACACATATATGTGAATATACATTACATTTCTAACTGTAAACTTTATCAATATTGCTTCAAATATTACAGTAAATATACCAATATATAATAAAATTAACTTTAAACAAATTAAATGTTCATTTAAATAGTTAAACATACACTTTAAATGATTAATTAAGTATAATTATAAAAATAAATGCTTTTTTTAGATTGATATTGTTACTTCCCTCTTTATTTGTGCATTAATATAGAGTAAAACAATTATATGTATTTTAAGGACTTTGCGGTCCGTAGCACTGTTAACTTTTGAAGTCATGGACTGAAAAGTTGGGGAACCCCTGCAGTAGAGTATGGTGGAAGATCAGTGATGCTGTGGGCATTTCTTCACTTTCAAAGGCCGTGGAAACCATGTGCAATACATCATAGACTGCTTGTTAAAAAAAAAAAATCATATTTTAAATAACAATCTCATGGAATCTACTAGATAAACTAATGGTTTATTATCAAGACTACCTCATGATAACAATCCAAAACACCATTTAAAGAATTTTTAAATATCTGAATATTCAAAAAAAAAAAAAAAAACTTAAAATGTTTCTGAAAGCCCCTCAGGTTTTCTATCAACATTAACTCAGACATTATAGGAGTTTTGACAACAGAAAAACATCATGAAAATGAGCCAATCCCTGCTGATGCTGTCTGGTTGTTTTATTGTTCTTCCCTAGATAGTTTGTTAACAGGACAGCTTTTTGTTCTGATTTTCCTTATACTCACACAACGACATTTGATGTACTGTATTTTGTGCTTTAAATGCAATAATCTCAGAGGAAAAGTTTCTTTTACACAAACCAAAAGCAACTTCTCTAATATTACCATAAAGGCATAGTCGTGCAGACTCTTTCTGCTTCAAACAGTCATTTCAGACAGACAGTTTTAGGTCAGTTGAAAATAGGAAGATGCCTCAAAGCTGCACAATCAGTGAAACTGTGTATAAGTACATTTATTCAATCTGAGGGGTGAGCTGTTTATTTACCAGTCTTGGTGAGAAAAACAAAGCTTTTATTGTCTTTTGCAGGAAAATAAAGCTTTTATTTAATAGGATCATAACGAACTCCTTCAGCATTCAATGCCTTGAACTTTAATTTTTAATTAGATGGGAAAGCTCTAATTTGCCACAACTCATTTGGTTAAAGCACAATTTTTGCAGAAAAAATTTGCTTTTACTGAGCTTGTGGTTTGAGAAGAAACAATTTAGACTTATTTCCTTTTCTAACAGGAAACTCTGATCATTAAAAATGCAAACGATTACCACATTCTAACAGAAAGAAACAAAGCAGTTTAAGGTCCCTCTTGAATGTTATGAGCAGAGTGTACATTTGAAACCCAAGTTTTTTCTGCATTCTAGTTCCAGAACATTTACTGTAATGCATAATGATTTGCTTTGTGGGTCCTGTAAGGTTAGAGAGAAAATCCTACCTGAGTCGTCCGTCCTGAGCGGCGGCACCTCCTGGTATGATTTTGGTGATGAAGATACTGGGGTCGTCCCCTACGTGAGGATTGTCTGTACCCCCTGCTATGCTGAAGCCCAGGCCGGAGTTGCCCTGAGGGGGAAATATAAAGTTTCTAACATCTGATTTTGTAAACTTGTGAGAAATTATTAGTGTTGCGCCGATGCCATTTTTTTGGCCCCGATACAGATACCCAATACCTGGCTGTCCGATACCGATACCATACTGATCCCATCTGTTTGAAATCTATGTGTATGTGTATATATGAAGAACTGCATACTACTTGGATATAAAATAATTTCCATCCCACCATGGCTTTGTCAAGCTGCTCCCTACCTTTGTGAAGCAGACTAATACAAAGTGAATCCAGTAGAACTTTTTATTGCCTATCTGGAATCGCTGACAATAATTAATTAAACTTTTGGCTCTCAAAATGGTATTGGTTCCCTATTAGTTGGTACTTGCCGATACAATACCACCATTTTAGTGCAGTATCAGGGCCCTGCACAATACTGGTATCGGTGCAACACTAGAAATTATAAAGCAAAAATATGAGGAAGAAGATATAATATGACATCCACAGACTCACTCTTTCCAAAGTAATTTCCTCATACTCAATTTCTCCCTCTGTCCCATTTACCTGTCATAGAAAGAATTTTTTTTATCAAGAGGAAAATCTGATTTTATACATTATATTTCTATAACACAGAAATCACTCATACAGGTCATTTGACTTGCATCATCATTGTTCAAATATAAATCAGTGTTTGTGACTGACTAAAGCAGCACTTTTCAGTTAGCCTGATCTCACCTCAGAATTAAAAAAGAAAAAAAACACAGCTTTTTTGCTGTAATAAAAAAAAAAACCCAAAGAAGAGAGAAAATTTCATAATAATTTTTTTTAGGTTAAAAAAAAACATTTTTTTTTGTATCCTTGATAAACCTTACAGAATCATGCACAATCTCTGTCAGGTAATATTTTATACTCTCTACTTCTGTCTATCCATAAATGCTAAAAGGTGGGTAAATCGACATTGAAAACAGAAAATTTGTGCAGGGATCTTAGATGATTATCAGTAAAACCAACGTTGCTCAACATGAAACTGTCCACACAGCAACTTTGTTCAATTAAGGAAAGAAGCTGTGCTGTACATGTAATACAGCCATTACAGATAAAGCAAATTGGAATTAATTTTAAGAAAGGCATGGCTGAAAAAAACTGAATAAAATGAGAGAGCTTTAAACTTTATCCTTACATATGGAGAGCCATCAAGTGTGTCAGTGTTCACCACCACTGGAGGAGTGTTTCCCTGGAGGCAGAATGGAGAAAAAAAAGCATTAATGACACAGAGTAATGGCAAAAGCTCCAGTATGAGGCCAAAAGCTGCAGTAACACGCTTCTCACTCTGCAAAAAAGACAAAAAGCACCACTCCACAACTACTTGTTGTTATCCCAACCATGAAAGACACAAAAATCAGCGCCGGCCACGAATCTTTGTTCAGGTTCAGTTTCTTGGTGTTTGCTTTGTGCTGCAGCACCTACTGGCCTAATTAGATTACATATACTGCTGTTGTAAATGGCAGTTTTATGAATACCAAGGACAAAGATGTCCACCCCCTCTCCAGCAGATCTTTTTAAAAACCACTGAGTTAAACTGTAATATGCAGCAGCAGTGACAGAACAATGGCAGTGTTCCAGCATGCTCCAAGGATGAAGAGGACATACAGAGTTGGAAAAAGACGGTGTCAAGACAGTTAGCCCAATTATCCTCAGAGAGAACAATGGCCGCCCTGATGGCAATCATTTGTTTCGAATTCTGGCCAGAGCCACAATGTAACAGTCAATATCATTAGTGCAAAATTAATGGACAAATCAGATATCAGGTTCAAACGAGGTATTCGTCAAAAACTAAGTGTTGCGACAAAAAGCAGTGAGCTAGTGAGAAGAGAGGTTTGGGGTATTGTTCTGTTTCAGGGTTGCAGTGCAGGTTTTTCATCAATATAAGAACTTTGCTTCTTTAGCAAAGATGTGACAAAAATGTGAGTGAGGATATCTAGCAGGAAGTTGTAGGAAAATGATACAGGATTTTCATAATTTGTGGAGTATTGTTTTCATTGGCCCTTTTTGCCCAGTTACAGTTTTCTTCTGGGAGATCTGTCACAGCTTTGCACATCAATAAAATTTGCCCATCCTTCTTAGCAAAATGTCAACAACTAAGCCAAATTGGATAGAGGATGTGTGTAGAGAATATTTTAAGGCCTTTGTAAAATATTTTCAAATTGATTTTCCTCTGGACATCAGCTGGGTTATTATAACAAAAATGTGCTTTGATGAGAACCATTTTTAAGTAAATTCCCTGCCTGAAGGTTGAAAACCCTTAATAACCTGATCTCAAGTCTCAATGCTTTAGCCGCCACTGGTGGGTTGTCTGCCCTGAAATAAGGTTCACCCATTGTCCCCATCTGCTTTGACAGGCTTCAAGCTTTTACAATAGTAGTTTCTGTTCCCGCAATGTTTCATTTTTGTGGTGTTTCATCTATGGCTTGTTGAAAAAATACAAATGAATATTCTTTCGGCTTTTTCTTTGGTCAAAAACAGCTTTCCTCTTCTTGCTGTCATTTATGTGTTTGCTCTGTTTCTTGATATTCATCCTGATCTTTGTTCACTAATGTTCTCTAATTCTCTGATGCCTAAATAACCAAATGTTAAAGGTACACTATGCAACCAGTGTTGATTTTCCAGTGAGGCTCCCTCCAGAGGGCGAAAGTAAAAGTGCACTGTCGTAAATATGCTCAGCTGTTCTCCTGGTTTCTCCGTCAAGCCAGGCGCGGTTGTTTTGAGCTTAGCAGCGAATGACTAACGCTGCGTTCACACTGGATGTAGCTGGCGCGACAGAAGCAGCGAGTTTACATGCAAAGGTCCCGCGGCGCGTTTTGAGCTGCAGGCGCAGCATGTCTGAGCGGCTGCAGCAGCGCGTCGGGTGAGAGACAGGGAGAGAGACACAGCGCTGATGATCACTGCTCTTAAACAGTTTATTGACGCCTAAATTAACTTAAAATGCAGAAATCTGCCGGCAGAATATGCAGTTTGGATTATTTAGATGAAAAACACCTACCAGCTGCTGCGGTGAACCGCTGCTGATGAAGGGATCCATACTGTCGGCGCATCCCTGGTATGTGGGGGTCTGAGAGGCTCCGACAGAAAAAATATTGAAGGCAGGATAATAATCTGAATGAACTGACTGCACTGATTACGTTTTCAGGTGTATTTTCTCACTTAAACACATATTAAAACTACTTTATTCCCACTGATCACAGCAAATATAGCTGCAAGGCAGAGAAAGGATAGTGAAGCTCCGCCCAATGCGCCTCAGACACACTTTTGCAGCCAGAGCAGCAAAGCTGCTTCAGCCGCGCGTCAGAACTAACTGGTACAAGCAGCAAAAATGAAGCAGCAGATGCGATTTTGCTGCTTTTGCTGCGTGAACGTAGCATAACTGCACAAAGATTGCCACTGTGCTAGCAACGAGAATGCTTTTAACTGGGGGGTGTAGCAGTTCTCGCCGTAAAGCAAGACTGACTCTCACGAGACTTCTGAGCCTGTGGGTGCGGGTCGGTGCTCCTGCAGTTGCAAGTGCAGTATTTCCCCCACAGACCACCAGGGCGGCCGAGAATACCTTTGTTCAACCTGAAATGACTCATTTAGTCATCCATAACGTTATGGAACACATTAATTAACTGAAAAATGTTGCATAGTGTCCCTTTAACAGAAAAAAATTAAAAATTAATTAATTAATTAATATTTCTATATTTTATTCATTAGCTACAGTAGCAGCCATTCAAGATGTCCCCACTTTTCTTGATGGGCCCTTAGCTGGTCCCCTACAATTCCTTTTTAAGCATCAATCTTTTTGTTAAAATATTCTTTCTCTCAGGATTTGTGGACATTAAGATCTAAAGAGAAGTATAATATCCTGGTCAGACCCTGTGATTCAGTGAAAGGTCGGGGTCAGAATTAAAAAATTTGCACGCCCAGGATAAGGAGGGGGTTACTTCAGCCGCTGGAAGTTGGAGGGGATTTTTCCTGGGAGCTGCAGGGAAGTGAGTTGCCATTCCACTGGCATTTGACTGGGAAGGGCCATTTTGAACGGCTGCTACTGTAACTTATTAGGGCATTTAGTTGGACTGCATTCATTAAGGGGCATCAAAATGATGGGCATATACAAACACACTTTTTTCTATCTACAAAACAGCTTAAAAATCTGGGTTTCCCCACAACAGAGGGCAACAATCTTTAGACTCTGTCTATAGAGTCAACAAGCTGCAAAAACAACAAAACCTTTAGAAAAAAACCCTGCCCGCTATGTTTGTTAATATCCCTTGTAAAAGAATTGATTGAGTTATCGTTAAAAAAAAGGACAACACTTTACAGCAGGGCTCCCCTTATAAATGACTGATAGATCGTTTATAGATATGCTGTTACTTATTCTATAAAAAAATGTATAACTGCTCAATTATATAATTCCTCTAGCATTGGGTGTGAGCACATTTCAAAAAATAATTTTGAGTGCAAAATAAACTCTTATGAATGAGCTATAACATCTATACAGATTATTGATAACAAATCTACCAACTATTTATGAGCAATCTATAAGGTGAGCCTTATTTATGAAATTCCAGGAATTTACCACAACTTAATTCATATTTTTAGGTTTCAGAATAGAAAAAGAAAACCTAACCTTCAAAGAAATATAGTTATATAGATTACTTTTATTACTCAAGCTATAGTTTCTTTCTGACATAATGACTAAAGGAAATAAAGATTTACCAGTGTCATTCTCTAGTGGAAATTCTGTATAGATGTTACAGAAAAATAAGTATGCTGCTAAAATACGCCTCTTTAATCAGATTATATTTTAAAATGTTGTTCTGTTATGCCCAAAAGCTCCAGTCAATGCTGGTTCCTGTGCTGTCACCTACAATTATACTGGGTCATAAAATGACAGGTTCATCAAGATCATCAGTGGAAAATCACTGATCTTTGCTCATCCAGAAGTCTTTTCATTAAGGTGGAACATAATAGTAACACAAAATGCAAGGTCACATAAAAAAACGCACGCCTGCATTACAATAAGCACTTCTCATCACTACTCTCATCAGATACATTATGGTTCATTCATGTTTCTGTCCAGGATGCATCCTATCATCAAGGTATTCTTAAAAGATGGAAACATGCTGTGAGGCTTTTGTTCATTGGAAAGCACATTCTGTGCTTTACCACACTGATTAACATGGAGAAGACAGTGTATCTAAAGTGCTTACAGCAGCAGAGAGCAGTATGAAACCAGCCCGCTGACCTTCACAGACCTGACAGCTGCGACACACACAAACAACAAAACAGCCACACTTAATTCATTTCCCAGCTTTAAGATAAACTGCCTGCCAGCAAAAATCCTTCAGCTATGCACAGGCAGACTGTATATCTGTTATACGTTTTAATTAAAATATTTTTATTGCTGACTTTGTACAAAGAGTGTCAAATACCTATGCTGTTTAATTATTTAGGAGGAATGAGAAATGTTAGAATAAAGTCACAGCAACAGGAAATAAATAAATGGATAAGCTCAATATGTTTGACAATGGTAAATGAGCAAAAAGTGTGTTTTTGAACATAAGACTATATTTTCTCTACTGGCAGCATCTATTAAGCTGAGCCATACAGGTAACTAATGACAAAGGACAAACTAAGAGATTACAAAATTAGGATTGGGGATGCTACATTAAGGTTTCTGACATCAAAACATTTTCCAACATCAAGGTGAAAGATTATTTAAAGTTTCACTGAAAAGCAAACCAATAAAATTGTTTGCACTTTGTAAATAGAAACCCATGTCCTGTATTTATGGAACCATTATCTATCCTGCACTTGCTGCTATGGCACTTCTGGTTAGACCTAAACTGCATTCCATTGCCTTGTACCTGTACCTGTGTAATGACAAGAAAGTTAAATCTAATTTAATCTAATCTAATCTAATCTAATCTAATCTGATATAATCTAATCTACAGTAATCTAATCTAATCCCACTGTACCACTAATAAATCTTTTTTCTATTGTAGGTTTATGGAGACATTTTTTGTTTTGTTGCACCCTTCTCTAGTAGCTTTTAACAAGAAAATAAATTTGATCCTTTGAATTTCCTCTTTATCTAAATAATGCAAAGCTGGTAGGGGTAAAATCCTTCTCATACTGTAAAACCTTTTTTCAGTAAAGCAGGAATTAACTTGGGACTGAATTCTAAAACCCAATAAA